GCTAGCCTCGTTGCACGCTGTTAGCCTCGCTGTTAGCCTCGCTGCACGCAGTTAGCCTCGCTGCACGCTGCTAGCCTCGTTGCACGCTGTTAGCCTCGCTGTTAGCCTCGCTGCACTCAGTTAGCTTCGCCGTTAGCCTCGCTGCAAGCAATTAGCCTCGCTACAGGCAGTTAGCCTCGCTGCACGCTGTTAGCCTCGCTGCACGCTGTTAGCCTCGCTGCACGCTGTTAGCCTCGATGCACGCTGTTAGCCTCGATGCACGCTGTTAGCCTCGCTGCACGCTGTTATCCTCGATGCACGCTGTTAGCCTCGCTGCACGCTGTTAGCCTCGATGCACGCTGTTAGCCTCGCTGCACGCTGTTAGCCTCGCTGCACGCTGTTAGCCTCGATGCACGCTGTTAGCCTCGCTGCAGGCAGTTAGCGAAGCACAATTTCTCCCCCCCTCTCCCTCCCTCTCTCTGCTGCCATCCTGCAGAGCGGCTGCCTGCCCTGCAGCAGATGGTAAACTTTTCCAATTCAAATACAGATTGCAGATTAAATTTGCAAAGCTGCAGCTAATCCCGGCCTAGATTGAAAAATTAAATCATGGAAATAATTTTTAACTCGCCCAGTTGTCTCTTAAAATAACCTTATTTTCGCCCTACAGCCTCATTCTCTCCCCTTCTGCTCCTCTGGTCTGCGTGTGTCTTTGCACCGCTGCTAATTTCTTCTTCTTTGTGTTTTTGTTTATAGTTTTTCTAGATGGCATTTATGCCCCCAGTTGCTGAGTGTGGAACTAAATGGATTTACTTGTTTTTGTAAAAGTTTTTATAAACTTTTTAAATTCCTGCAAAGCAGCTCATATAAATGTCCTATTTATATCCCCTGTTTTGACAGACAAAAAAAAGATATTAAAAAAAGTTAATGATTCAGAATCTGCTGCAGCTGGATGACATCAGCAGATTAGGCGATGATGTCATCCGGCGCTTTCTAGGAGAGCCAATAGCGACTTTTCTTGCTGAGGAGTTGGCAACACTGTGCAGGAAGAACTCTGCATTTAACCCTGAAAGAACAGTTGCTGAAGCTCTGCTCCTGTGTGCAGCTGGAGAACGGGCTGGGCGGGCCGCAGACCTACCAGAACCGGGTCACCCAGCACCTGGTTCCCTGCGTGGGTCAGTTCTCCGTGGCGCTGGCTGACGACGCTCAGTGGAAAACCCTGAACTACCAGGTCCTGCTGAAGACGAGGCACAGCGACGCCAAGGTGAGCTCAGCCGGACGCCCAGACGGTCGGCCTGTTTGTTCCTTCTCTGATCTTCTGCTCCTCCTCTGCAGGTCCGCTTCTCCTCCCTCCTCCTGCTGATGGAGCTGGCGTCCAAACTGAAAGAGAACTACGTGGTTCTGCTGCCTGAGACCATCCCATTCCTGGCAGAACTCATGGAGGGTGAGTGGAAAACGATTGGTGACGGATCTGAACCGGTTCTGGTTCGGTTCAGAACCAGGGTCCATGTTTAACATGGAGACACTGACCCATTCAGAACCAGAACCATTCAGAAGCTGCTCCTGTGGAGCTGAACGGTTTGTTTCTTTGCTTTTCAGATGAGTGTGAGGAAGTGGAGCAGCAGGTCCAGAAGGTGATCCAGGAGATGGAGAACATCCTGGGAGAACCTCTGCAGAGCTACTTCTAGCATCACGACCCACCTTTAGGACGTTCTGAGGAGGAACCAGAACAAAATGCTCCGTTTTTACCTGATCAATAAATGTTTTAATTTCCTAACCTGAAACTTGCCTGTTTTTCATCTAAAAGTTGTAGAGAAGCGGCTGTTCCAACCGTTTCTCCCAAGTGGTGCCCGACTTTACACGAGTGAATAAAGTGAATGTGATTGGTCGATTATCAAGGGGGCGGGATTGTGTTTCCAAAAAGGCCAAAGTAAATAACCCAGTCCTTCTTTTCACTGTAGACAAGCCATGATCTGCTTATCTGTTCT